CGCCGGCCTCTGTCTCACCCCCGCACTTTGAGCTTCAGCCACACTGGCCTCTCCCAGTTCTCCGTGGCGTGCTGTGCTCCTCCTGGGCACAGAGGCTTTCCACAGGCTCTTGGCTGGCACACAGGGTTTAACCCCGTCTTCTCCATCTCAGAGGTGAGGAGGGTGTGAGCTCTAGCAGCTCAGCTCTAACCTCTCCACCCAGGAAGGCTTCAGGGGAAGGGGAGAGTGTTCCCTTGTAGGAGGAAAAGGACGAGGTTAGATGAGGTGAAACCCAGGCAACATGCTTGGAATGGAGGAGAGAAGTCCCTACAGGGACATTCTGGCCAAAAGAACCTGAGAGCAAAAAAGCCCATACAAGATCCCGTGACGCAGTTTAAAAGATATCTTCCAAGGGTGACGGGAATGTAAAACACTGTACAGAAGCCTCCCTTAGTAACCTCTCCCAGACGATGGAACCTGTCTCTAGGCCCCATTTTCCTGCAGTTCAAGGCTTATGTCACCAGGTGCCTGTTAGGGTTCTCCTCCCAAGTAGACCCCCCCAGACAAGTGATCTGAGAAGACGCCTTCACTTTTTCCCTTCCCAGGTCCCTTCTGCTTTCTCTTCTGTCAACTAGTTCAGTCCTTGAACCACCTGGGGCCTTTCCCCTTCACTTCCTCAGCTACCAGTTCCGCAGCATCTCCCGATCCCACCCTTCCTGCCACTGCCAGCACCATGGACGTGGCCTTTCAGCTTTTCTTTTCTGGGACTGGTGTGAAGGCTCCTTATTGGGCTCCCAACTGGCGCCACCCCTCCCTGTCCCGACTGCATGTACCTGCATGGCTGTGAGCCTCCCTCTCCTAGTCATCTGCAGAATGTCGCCCTTGGTGAGCCAATCAAATTCAGATTTCTTGGTTTGATTTACAAACCTCCCTCCTTTTGTCCTCTGTGTTTCGATTTTTTTGTTGTTGTTGTTTTTGAGGGGCCCGGAAGCTTTTACTTCTTTGTCTGCCTGAGGACCCTCACCCTCTGCGTGTCTTTGGTGGCTTATCTTCTACCCCTGCTGACCCTGGTGCTGCAGCCCATGGGAGATACTAGCTCATGATACATCATGGTAAATGTATTTTGACATATTCTACATACATGGAATACAACTTGCCATTCCGGTTGTGCATGATGGGAAATTACTTTGGTATTTTTGAATACCCAATGGATCTTCCCACCTACCACCATCCAGTCTGCTTCCTTCTCACCCTGGTTCAAACCTTACCCATTCCTCAAGGCCCACCTTGGATGCGCATCTTGTATGAAGCCTGTGATCCCCTGGCAACATAAGACGGTGCCCCAGGACTTCTACAGCTCTGTGAAACCTGTCACCCCTGAGTCTATCATGATTCTAGCTCCTTCTCTCACTGCATTCTACCATCATGATGATGTTCTTTTAATCCTTCTTTGTCGGACAGTGTCAGTAATATCTATTGAGTATTGACTCTCAGGGTGTCTTGCACACACCATGCAACTTCTCCCAACTCCCAGTTTTCATCTATAAAACAGTGATAATAACCACCGCGAGCTCCAAGGGTTGTTTTGAGGATTCATTAAGTTAACACAAGGAAGGCACTGAGAATCCTGCCCCATACAACAACTAACCAGTAAATACCTACTAGGTAATTATTATTAGGCATGTAGGAGAGCATGTCATGTTGTCTGACCTAACCTCTGGCCCCAAGTCACTATTATTATACTGTTTTTGAAAATTATACATCCCAGCTCCTCAGAAGGCTGAGGTGGGAGGATCAGGAGTCCAAGACCAGCATACCAAGATCTCCTCTCTAAACAAACATAACCTGTTTTAACCATTTTTAAGCATACAGTTCAGTACACTACACTCACACTGTTAAGCAACCGATCTCCCAAAATTTTCTTCTTGCAAAACAAACTATTAAGCAGCTCCTCATTTCCCCTCCCACCACCTCTAGCAACTGCTGTTATACTTTCTGCCTCATCAAATGTGGATTGCTATACTCTTTACAGGCTGAGGGACCCCAGGTTTGGAGAGTAATTTGTTCTAAGGAGACGGAGCCCAGATTTGAGCCCAGGCCCCCTTTCACACTCTGAGCCAGTGTGAGATGTGGCTTCACTTCAGCCAGTATCCATGGCAGGTTATACCTCCCCAACAATGATGGCCATTGTGGGCCAGAGCTCTCCTCTGCCATTCTCACATTTACTCCCCTGTCAGCTCTGCAGACATGGTTGAGGGGTGGTGTCCAATTTTTGAGTTCGGTGCCTGGTACAGAGGAGGACTCAATAATATGGGCCCATGTGATGTCTTTAAATAGGCTAGACAATACCAAATAAGCTGGTTGTACATTTTTAATGCAATTGTCTACTATTTGTTTTTTGTTGGTACTGGGAATTGAACCCAGGGGCACTTTACCAATGAGTGTTTTTTATTTTTTTTGAGACTGGATCTTACTAAGTTGCCAAGTGTCTTGTTAAATTGCTGAGGCTACCCTTGAACTTTTGATCCTCTGGCCTCAGCCTTCAAGTTGCTCTGGTTACAGACTCCAGATTAGCAATTGTATACACTTTTTAAAAATATTCTCACTGAAAAAAACAACAGAAATGTCTGATGTCAGAAAGCCTCCCCGTCCTCTGCAGTCTGCCCTCCTCCCATAGAGTCAATCTGCCCTTCCCACCCAAGGCCACCCCACATCTGTGTCTCATCACCAGCTTTGCTGATCCATAGCCAAGGGCAGAGACAGGCAGGCAAGGGGACACAAGACACCAAGACACTGTCCCTGCTCTGCTTCCTTCCCCTGCTGCCCTACCAGCACACTCTTCCCTCTAGCCATAACCTATCCTAGCCATTCTGTCCTTCACGCCTCCCGGGCCTTTGCACATGCTGTTCTTGAAGCCTGGAATGCTTGTCCTCCCACCTTCTCCACCTCCCAGAAACTCCTACAGTCTTTGCAAAGCCAGCTCAGATGTCACCTCCTCTGGGAAGCTCCCTCTCCTCCCCCATCTAAGAGTCTGCCCTGTCTGGGTATAGACTAGCTCACTCCTTGTGATAGCATTTGGAATGCAGGGACTGTCATTGTGTCCCCTCTGACCCGACTCCTTGTGGAATCCAGAGAAGCCCAGGTCATTTCTATTTTTTGATGTTCTTTATTTGAGAAAAGAAATGACAAAGTAGGAACACAAACGTTGAGGCGTGTTTTAAAAATATTTAACAATACTTCTGATACCAAAAAATTATAACACAGTTGTGCTGCTCACAAGATAACAAAGATTTATTAACGTGATAATTCACAGGGCACCACAGATGCAGTGGTCTGGTAGAAGGGCACAAGTTTAAGGACATACATGGAGGGTCTTTGATCAAAGCAAACAGTGGATCCAATATAATGCAAAACCTCACTTGAAGATAATGTTGAAAACCTAAGTTGAAGATTCTGGCCAGATGGCTCTCCTGGCCCCTTTCCCCAGTGATAAGCTGTACTGCTGCCTTTGCACACAGTAGGGGCTCATCCTCTGCTAAATGATGGGAACAAATATGGCTTTCCAAGTGATTATTGGAAACCCCAGATATAGTAAGTGTTCCTGAGAAACACTGAAGTCCTCAACAATGGGGCAGGAAGCCACCTCCTCCTCCAGATTCCAGCCCTCAGATTCCAGCTGATGGCTGCAACAGGAAGCCCTCCACCGGGTCTTTCCTCCCTCCCCCTCTTCCCCATGCCCCCCCCCCCCCCCCCCCCCCCCCCCCCCCCCCCCCCCCCCCCCCCCCCCCGCCAGGGGCTCCAGATGCAGTCTTGCTTTCCATCCACTGGCAGCCTCTCTCCTCCTCCACCCTCTGGAGGGTCCCAGGTGAAGACAGAAAAAAAGCTTTTACTCAGAAGGAGGCAGGAAGCCAAGCTGGGCTCCAGGCAGTCCTGAGGAATAAAAGAAACAGCAAGAGGACAAAGAAGGGCTTAAAGCACTGGAGCAAAGGGAGGGTGGGGGGTAGGGAGGCTAAGAAAGTTTACAAAGCAATCTGCCAAAGAATGGATGAAAAGGGAGCCCCGCTGGGCTGAGAGACTCAGGCCCTCCCTCACCTTAGGCCCAGTTAGAAACCTGCAATTTCTCCGCCAAAGCCTGCACCTCTCCCTGCTCCTCCCATTCCTTGGAGTCTGGTTAACAACCCCTGACCTAGAAGTTTCCCTGAGTGTGAGGGCCCAGCTTGCTGGGTCTGTGACAGTTGGCAGCCTTGCTCACAGAGCATCCGCTTGAACCCACCACTGGCCCAACTTCCAGGCTGAATTTCCAGCAGGAAAACAATGTGAGGAGAAGGCCAGATGCTCACAGCCATGGGCCACTCTTAATTTCCCAGACTTTCAAGGCCACTGAATATACCCATGGGCCTTTATGGAAGTCTCCCCTGCCACCAAAGGTTGAATTAATAATCACAGCTATCACCTGAGTGACCTGTGTGGATCTAAGTCATCTCAGTCCTCACGACTCCCCCGGGGTATGACTATTGCCATTTTACAGAAAAGGAAATGAGCTGGGCAGAGTAAATGACTTCCTGATATGCAGCCTGGAATCCAACCCAGACCTGTCTGACCTTGATGCCCACACTCTACGGATGCTGTCTCTTGGGAACCCTCCAGGATGCCAACTTCTTTGGTGTCCAGATTTAAAATTTTAGGTGGGACAGGATGGTACAATTCTGTGGTATTTAAACAACCTCTAACCCCAGCTGGGGGTTGGCAGAGGAGTAGGAGTGGGAGATGCTGCGTTATGCCTGGGTAGGGTCCTAATAGTTCTTTTTAGACACTTGAGTAATTTAACCATAAATAACTGGGCACCAGGAACAGGACACTCAGTAATAAAAGCATGGCCTGGAGTCATGTTTAAAAAAAAAAAAAAATTCAAGTCCCTCAGTGGGTGGATGTATCTGCAAAACAAAAGAAAAGCCCCTTTCCCAGCCCAGGCAGAGAAGTCTCCTGTACAGTTAGAGACAACAGGCTTCCGGGCACGTAGCCAAGGTTCTGGGGATATTTATAACTTGAAGAGGGTGGGAGTCCCTAATAAGCTGCTATATTCTTTTTCCATCACTTCCCTCTCCAAGGCTACAGAGAGCTCGGAGCTCTTCCCCATGCAGAATGCCTGCTTTGCCTAGTGCTCGACTTCCATTGTCTAATTCCCTCATCCTAGCTGGGGAAAGGGAAGGCTGCAAGTCGGTCCGTTCGGAGGAGCTCCAGCTGAACGCAGCTTAGCTGGCAGTGGGTTTTCTTGGCCGGTTGTCTTGGCCTCGGAGATGTGCCTATGAGCCTGTGGTTTCACGGAGGTCTTCGGGATCAGCCAATGATTCCTGGGCTTTGCCTGCAAGTCTACGGATTCGAGGTCGGTCTGTGGGTCTGGTCTCCGGAATCTACCAGCGATCGCCAGAATCTTTCAGCACATCAGAGGTCGGAGAAAACTCTGCGGCTTTGGGATGTTTGGGGCCTCTCGGATCTTGCAGCCGGCGATCTAGTGGATATCTGGCAGGCCGGGAGGTAAGTCTGTTGGTCCCCAACTCGGGTTTGCTGTTTCCTACCTTCACAATGACTGCTAGCATCCTGAGGACCCGCTGGGCTCAGGCTCTCAGAGGCCCAGGGTCCCCTCGGTGAGCGAGGCCTCCAGAAACCCTTTCAGCAGACAAACCCTCCAGGATGATAAGGACCGCCCGCCCTCGCCCAGGGGCCTGGCTCTCTCCTCCTCACACGCCCTATCCTCACCCCTGCGTCTGATTTCCTTTAGGATTTTCGCTTCTTGTCTCTCAACAGGCGCCCTCTTTAGAAGGACGCTGTTGGTTGCCCCTAGAGGGTTAACAGCGACGAAGCCCGCACACCCCATGCTCGGCACCGGACCGCACTCGCGCGCAGAAGAGTAGCGCAGAGCCGACTGGGAATTGTAGTCTGCGTGTGCGCAGGGTGCGAGTGCCGCACGCGCTGCTGGGACTTGTAGTCTGTGTGCGCATAGGGTGCGAGTTCCGCAGGTGCTGCTGGGAGATGTAGTCTGCGTACGGGCAGGGTGCGAGCTCCCAAGCTGGGAAGTGTAGTGCGTAGGCGGGGCTCAAAGTTCCAGCGCGCCCTCCCCGAGGGAGTGGGCGGCTACTGCTTTTCACTCTGGCCGGTGCTGTCAAATGAGGGATAGATAATCCCAGCAGAACTGAGCCCAGGCCAGCACCTAAATCAAGTCCGACTTTGCGGATAATGAGATGTGACTCAAGAGAAGTTTCTAGGGACGTGAAGGAAAGCAAGGCAACATCCCTGGTTTAACCTGGCTGTGGTCTCCAAAGAAGAAAGCGGGAGGTACTCCGCCCTAGCTAGGAGGACACGCTTCCTTCTTCACCCTTTTGTTCTTTTCCCTCCTCGGCTCTTGGCCTCTGACTGGCCTTTGTACGCCGAAGTGGAACTACAAGTCCCGGCAGGCCACCGGGTAGGCGCAGGCGTGATAGAGGTGCTGGGCCACGCTGCGGGAGGCGGGCCAAGTATTCGGCATCTGATTGGTAGGGCATATTGCAAGCTTTGATCACTGGTTGGCTGAGGCAGCTGCCGGAAAGGACCCAGCCTCGAGTTGGAAGAGCGAAGGCGTTCTGTGGGCTGGGCTGAGGAGCCTCCTCCCTGAGACAGCATCGCCTAGACCCCCAACCAGGGAGTGACCACCCTGGAGCTGTCCTAGTCGATTCTGGCATTGCTTCCATCCGGTGGTGGCGGAGACATAGAGGGCGGGTCATGCCCTGGGATCAGGGAGGAGAGTGACCGGCCCTGGTCCAGGGCCCTCCCCGCACGCCTCTTGGCCAGAACTAACTCCAGCCCTGGGGAGTGGGCAGGGCCTATTTGCAGTGCCTCACGCCCTGCTTTTCGCCTCCTTCAGCGCTGTCTGCTAGCTGCTTTTCCTGCTGTCTCTCCCGGGAGGTCAACCCTTGTGCCCGAGATGGCAGCCACCCTGCTCATGGCAGGGTCCCAGGTAAGCCGGGGGTGGTTCCTCGGACCTTGAGTCTGCTTAGCCACCTCGTCCGGCATTTCTCCGCTCCGCAAGTCCCTGTGGGGAATTCCCTGGGGTTAGTAATTCGTTCACTTCGTTATTCTATCTCCAGGGGCCTACTGCTGGGCTAATACAGCCGCAAACAAGCATATATTGAACACCTGCTGTATGCCTTTAGGTACTGGGGGGATTACAGATGGACAGGACGGGAGCTACCTCGCCTGCTCACAGTCTGCTGGGAGAAAGACGCATCCGGTTAACCGTGATACAACGTGATAAGTGCTGTGTTTGCCGTAGCAACAAAGTGCTGTGGTGTGGAAACAGAAGTGGGAGTGATTAATTCTATCTGGAGCATCCGAGGGCGGAGCGGCGCAGAACGGGGGTGGGGGGCGGCGGCACGAAGAAAACCGTAATGAATGGCAGTATTTCACTAGTCTGGAAAAGATATTTCAAGAGAAAGAGGAACATTGTATGTAAAGCTATGGAGTGATGAAATTGTTATCTGTGTTCTCAAAAAGGCATGGCTAGAGGATAAGATCCCCCAAGTAGGGCAGGGGTATCCAGCTATGGAACCAGAGCAGTTCGGTTTTTGTTTTGTTACCACGTGTGTTTTCCTGGTTGTTTAATTCTTTTTTGGACTTTACAGAGGAGACTCAATGCCTTTTACCTCCTGGACATTTCCAACCATGTCTCTAGTTTCAGGAAGAAAAACTGTTACTAACCTCCTTGATACCAAGTAGTGAGGAAGCATTGTGTGATTTCAGGCACCTGTGACATTTGAAGATATGGCCATGTACCTCACCAGGGAAGAATGGAGACCTCTGGATCCTACACAAAGAGACCTTTACAGGGATGTTATGCAGGAGAATTATGGAAATGTTGTCTCACTAGGTAAGTAAGGATTCTACCTGTCTTCACACCAGCGTTTTTGAAACTATGTCAGAATGGCTTGGCTTTCCAACAGAGCCTAGTTGTTTGATCTTTTAAGTCACTTAATTGGATATTGGCTTGAGTTGAGTGTTCAGGCAATCTTTGAATGTGGAAACATGCAGATCGTATATTTGAAAAGAAAAAGAAATGATTTTGCACATTTTAGAAACATTCAGATTTCTTGTGCCCTGAGTCATTTGCCATTCTCCAGCCTGTTTGTACAGAGCCCTAACCAAACAGGTCTGGCATAATGGTGCTTGCCAGGATATAAATGCCCCTGTAAATGGTGCTTTTACTCTAGGGCACTGGAAGATGAGGGATTCTAAGCTAGGTTCATGGGAGGGCAGAAGCACCATTTGTGTTTGTTTTGGCTGCAGAGCGCCAGCCTTGCCTCAGGTTCTTTGTCTGAATAAGTTCTTGTCTAGAGATGTGTCAGGGTGAGTGTGTGAAATGTTCCAGATGTATCCCGAAATAGTGGGATCACAAATTCTATTAGCGGAGGCAGTTTCATTTTGTCTGTCCGTCTGACTCTTTTCTTTGGCAGTGCTAGGGATGGAACCCAGGGCATCTCACATGCTAGGCAAGTGCTTCTACCACAGAGCTGTATCTCCAGCCTCCATTTTTTTTTTCATGTTCTGCAAATCTGTTTTCTCTTCCAGCTGTATTTTGGTCTGGGTGTAACTAGAATAAACAATTTATCCTAGAACTGAACAGTCTTTGGACTCACTTTGTCTCCTGTTAGGACTTGACAGAAGTTAGCAAGTGTGTATGCTTCACTAGGTCATCTGCCGTTTGTTAGAATGAATCCACTTTTCAAAAATCTTGATCCCTGGGCTGGGGATGTGGCTCAAGCTGTAGCGCGCTCGCCTGGCATGCGTGCAACCCGGGTTCAATCCTCAGCACCACATACAAACAAAGATGTTGTGTCCGCCGAGAACTAAAAATAAATAAATACATATTTAAAAAGTTTCTCTCTCTCTCTCATATCTCTCTCTCTCTCTTAAAAAAAAAATCTTGATCCCATGACTTTTCTCAGCACAAAAGACAACCTGAGGGTTTCTTCTTAATTTGGGCTTTCTCTCTGGTCCCGAGTTGTTTTGATCCCTTTTGTAGAAAAGCAACCATAAATAATGTTATCCTCTCATGTCTTTAACCCAAATATTTCACTCAATCCAACAAAAACAAGAAATGAAAATCTTAAAAAGTTTAAATTTGCATTCCTGTGGTCTGGCACAAGGAGTGCTTATTAGAAGGACAGAAGCACCGAAAGAAAAAGCTGGTTTCTTCTCCAAATAACCTTGGGAGAGGGTTAAATAATATTTACAAGACTTCTTTATCTCAGGACTCCTCAGAATCTTTAATGTGTTATTAGGCATTGTGGATTCCTAATGAGAGACTAGTGTATGCAACATTTACCAAACTAATTTATCCACGGGACCTTTTCTCCCAGAATATTTACTAATCCCTTTATGAAAAATATACTAAGAGGGCTGGGGATGTGGCTCAAGCGATAGCGTGCTCGCCTGGCATGCGTGCGGCCCGGGTTCGATCCCCAGCACCACATACAAAACAAAGATGTTGTGTCCGCCGATAACTAAAAAATAAATATTAAAAAAATTCTCTCTCTCCCTCTCTCACTCTCTCTTTAAAACAAAAGAAAGAAAAAGAAAAATATACTAAGAAATCTACTTGGGCTGGGTGCAATGGCACATGCCTGTAATCCCAGCATCTTGGGAGACTGAGGCAGGAAGATAACAAGTTCAAAGTTAACCTCAGTGACTTAGCAAGGCCCTAAGCAACTCAGCAAGACCCAGTCTCTAAATAAAATATTAAAAAAGGGATTGGAGATGTAGCTCAGTGATAAAGCACCCTTGGGTTCAATCCCTGGTACCAAAAGAAAAAGAAAGAGAGAAAAGAAAGAAAGAAAGAAAGAAAGAAACCCAGCTTGGAAAATTTAGTGTTTGGGTAGAAAATTCTTTCAGACAGTGGTTGTGTTTTTTATTTTCATTGGAGAACTGTACGTCTATACGTGTAATATAGTCAGTCAATGCCAAGAATGTTCTGATGCAGGACTGTGGGTGTAGCTCAAAGAGTCCCTGGGTTTGATTCCTAGCACCACACACACAAAAGAAGAATATTCTCAAACATCTTTTTTGCCTTCTCCATGTTCTCACATCTATTTTCACTTAAAAAGGCCGCTGGAAAATAGCAAGTGACAGTTAGCACTTTTTTTGTTAACTAAGATATGACACAGATAACTAAAAATTCATTTTTCTTCATACCAACCTAGCAGATGCTTTTGAATAAATATTATTATATGATGGTAATGATGAAAACTTGACAAGTTAAAATACATACATACATAAAATATCTAGGTTCTTGGCTTTTAGAAATTCTGATTTAGTCTTTTGTATGTTCCGTTAATAGTTGTTTTGATCTTCCAAAACACCAAAAATATGTAAAGTTTTTATAATGAACCATTAACTGCAGTAATACAAAACATTTGAACTTCCTAATTTTCTTTTTGCAGTACCAGGATTGAATCCAGGGCTTACATATGCTAGGCAAGCACTCCACCACTGAACTACACCCCCAGATCTTTTTCTTTTATTTTGAGACAGGGTCTTGCTAAATTGGTTCTGGCCTTACTATATTGATGAAGCTGGCCTGGAACTTGTGATTCCTCCTGCCTTGGCCTCTGAAGTGTCTGGGATTGCACAACCCCTAACCAGAGCATAAACTTTTTATCCGACTTTCTGTCTCTAACATTTACTGCTGTGACTTTGGGCAAGTCACTTCCCTTGTCTCAGGGTCTTGGCTTTCTCATTCATTAAGATCATCCTAACACCTGCCTCTCAGGATGGCTGTGATCATAAGTGAAGTAATGCAGGTAAAGAACTTAGTGTAGAGCTGGGCAGGCGTGATGGGCATGCTTGTAATATCAGCGGCTCCGGAGGCTGAAGCAGGAGGCTCACAGGTTCAAAGCCAGCTTCAACAACTTAGC